GACATCTTTAGAAAGAATATATGCCGTTACAGATTGTTTAAAACTGCGGGACAGAAAGTTATTGCCGCCCAAGGGAAACAGTTTGCATCAGCAAAGTAGGACTGCAAGTGCAAATAAAGAATGAGACACAAAAAGGGAATTTTCTGGTAGTGAAGGACCTACTAAATTCGGTTATTTTGGGGGTCGACTTTTTACGCGCAGCAAGCGCTAAATTAAATTCTAAGAACTCTGCCTTACAGGTTCAAATGGATGCTGTAGAAGAAGAAGAGGGGGCCATTCCAGACGTGGATCTGAACTACCTTCAAGAAGAGGAAAGAAAATGGAAAATTTAGTAAGACATCTTTGTAACGTAGAAAGTAGTTTAATGTAGTGTAATGCAGAAAGAAAAACGGCGTCCCGCCGTCAGATCCGAATTCGTGGAGATTCGCCGTTGATTACCGTAAATTAAATAGTGTAACGAAATATCCCATGTATCCCCTGCCGATAATTAAGAAAAATACGATCTACTAATATATGACTAAGCTAGAACTGACCTCAGGATATTTACAAATTGTGGCAAAACCCGAGGATGTCGAGAAAACAGCTTAACGTAAGCAGGTATAACGGGTATAACGAATTCAGGAGTGTATGCCTTTTTGAGAATGCCGTTTGTCTTAAGAGGAGCTCCGGCTACATCCCAAAAAATTATGGATGTCGTATTAAGACCCGCCTTAGGCAAGAGTACATTTATTCACCTCGATGATATAATAATAACGAGAGAATCTATAGATGGACATTTTGAGAAGCTGAAAGATGTTTTTTTTATTATTAAATGACGACGGCGTCGAGGTGAATCCTAAGAAATGCAAGTTTGCGGCCAAGGGACTGAGATATCTCGGGTGTAAGATCTCGAAAAAAGGGAATCGAAACCGATAATGTTAAAAATCGTAGCAATCAAGAGTCATCTATCTCCCAATACAGCCAAAAGAATAGCATCCTTTTTGGATTTTTGCTCATACTATCAATCATTCATCACGGACTTTGCGAAGACAGTTGAACTCTTGCTGGTTCTTAAACGAAAAAAAGAGAAAAGAAAAGAAAAAGTTAGGTTCACGTAGACCGCAAAGGCGAACACTGCGTTCGAAGAATTAATACACGCATTAATTAACGCTCCAGTTCAAGTTCCCGGAAGGGGAATAGAATTTAGAAATTGCAGCAGACGCCCGGGATTTCACAATTGTCGTTCGCCCTCTCCCAAAATGGGCAGCCAGTTGCCTACTTCAGTAAAACGCTGAATCAAATTCAGCGAAACTATACCGCGCCAGAAAAAGAAACTCTCGCTGTCTTACTAACAGTCTGGAAATTCCGAGTTTACTTTGGAAACGCCTTGGTAACAATCCACTCAGACCATGCGGCGGTTGGCCGCTTATATTCGGGAAAAAATCTTTCACCCCTGCTTACGTTGGACGTTAAATCTACAGAAGCCTAATCTAATTATAAAACACACGCCGGGCAAGGAAAACGTTGTCGTGGATGCCCTATAAAGAATTAAGATTGTTGAAAAGGGAAATACTGTCAGATGTTCGAAAATAATTGAGTCCCGTTTAAACAAAAATTTCAAAACTGAAGACGGATAAGATTGATGGATTGCTCCCCACTCAACTCTGAATTCAAGGATATTTATGCGTATCTTGAAGACCCTGAACATTTCGAGCATGCGGGCATAACGGCAATTCGAAAAAGGGCGGCCCACTATGAAGTCATTAATAAATTGCTGTTTTATACGAAAATACCTAACGAGAATCAAGTATACCGGCCAGTGATCCTAGCGAGTCTACGGTTAAATATTTTAATGGAAGCGCATGATTCGCCCATTTCGAGTCACTTAGGTATCAGGAAAACATTGCAAAGGGTCCGCGAAGCGCTTTATTTTCCGCTACGGCGTATGTCAGGTCATGTCATATGGGCCAATTAATTAACGACGTTAATTATAAACCGGCCGGGTACTTAAATAACATAAAGACCACTTTCCCGAATGAACTGGTGGGCATCAATTTGTTCGAACCTTATCCTACAACAAGATTAACTAAGAATAGATATCTCTTAACTATCGTTGATCACTTTTCGAAGTGGGTGGAAATAATTCTCCTTAAACGAGCATCAGTAAAAATAGTGTCAGAATAAAAATCTAATCGTTCTTAAATAAATATATTTGAAAATACGGGCCCCCAGTAAACGTAATATCTGGTAAAGGAAAACAATTTGTTCGTGACTTATTTAAAAAAATATTTGCACAGGACTTGGCATACGCCATCTAAAAATGGCACCATATAGGGCGCAATATAATATAGCGGAACGTGTGAACAAAAATATTGTTAAAATTATTTGCGTATATGTTAAAAATTATAATCGTTGGAATAGCTGCGTCAATGAATTAGGTTTTGCTTTAAGAACAACGAAACATGATACTGTGCAAAAGACCCTCCGCAGAACTCGTTTTAGGGAAAAAAATTTAAATTTCCTTAGATAAATACTTTTTTGTGCAGTAAAGGGTAGAAGAATTTAAATGATATTCAGGAAGTCATTAATGAAGCAGTAAAAAATTCTGATATAGCGAGGCAGAAACAGAAAGTCTACTATGACAGAAATAGACAAGAGGTAGAACATTCAGTGGGTCAAAAAGTATTAAAAATTAAAAACTTTTTATCATCTGCGCCAGAAAATAGAGTAGCTAAGTTTGAGCCTAGAGCTCCGCGCCACTCAGATGCTAATCAACTTTACCGAAAATGAAGAATAAAAACCTGTTTATAATAGATAAAATGATAGCGCAGAGATAGATTCCAGGACCGTCTCTTTTTTCATTTTGGGTAGTGGGTTCGGGACTAACTACATCGATAAACTTACTACAGCGATATCAGGAAAAAGAATGTAAACAGCTTTCAAACGATAAAAACGTTGCCTATGTCTATGTCTTATCACTTAGTAAGAGGCAATCGACCATTAACGGCATTTACCAATACATTATACTTCATTTTTAAATGCTTGAGAAATCGAGTAACTTATATCCAATAATATTAAAGTACTTGTGCACATGCTGTGCTAGAACTCAAAGATTACTAGAGACGGAGGCTCCTGTGCCGCCGGTAGTACAATTTTTGAGACAGATCGTTAATAATGATAACAATAGAATAAAACATTATTTTGTTTTTGGTTGCTATGGGTTACGTGATTGGCAGCGTTGAGTTGTAGTAGGTAAGTTGCCACAGGCACCAACGCGCTTATCCTAATTTTCAGATATGTGAATGTATCAAGAATCTCAAACATGTCGTGAGTCTTTGATTCTGCAGTGATGTTTTTAGAAAACAGAAAGTGTTCTTTAATATTATAACCATGTATCTTCCATACAGAGGATATCAAATGAGCAACCTTATTGTTACCCTTAGCCTCATCTAGCTGCAATCCAAATTCCTTTCTTTTAATTTTTTAATAACTTGATCGTTTTGTAAGGTGCTAGCAAAACATTGTTTGATATTGATGCAGTCTTAAAAAATGTGTTTTTTGTTATTTCAGTTCTTTTAACTTCCTGGCAAACATATCACAATGTTTGACAACCATGGTATGGTGATTAGCTTCTAAAATTTCGCTTCAATTTACTCGGAAGCATACACTCCTGTGCCAAAATTTTCATACATATTACACATTGTGATCTCTCTTCACCATTCGTTTCTATTAACGTAAAAGCAAAATATAAATAACAGTCATCATATTTACGACAGTTTCGTTTCTTCATATTCGTGCCACTGGTTGTAGACATATTATTATACTTTCTTTATCTGTACTCTTACGTTTACTGTTGTTCAAAAATCGGTTCATCATCGAAGATACTAGAGCCAAAAGTCGCACGACTATTTATCAAAGACAGCAAACAAGTAATATTACACTTATTATGCTGTATACACTAATTTATGTCACTGTTTATTTATATGAAGTTCTGAGTTTAATTTTATCAGACTATATTGTAAGCCGGCTGACGGAATCCAGCCGACAACGCTTGCTTACATGCTTTCCGCAAGATCTTCCAGATCAATTCAGAACATAAGAAATTAGTGTCCACGGCCCACGTGAAAAGATATTCTGCGTCAGAGACCTTACTTTTATACAGGGTCAAGTAAAAACAAACCACACAAAAAATGTAGATATTTTCGCTTCTCATTTTGTGTTTGCTTAGTTAATCCAAATATCTTGGCTTAATTCATTATGAAGCTTTTACAATATTTCGCAGCTTCCCAGGGCACCACGGCGCATAGGTTGGGAACCACTGCTGTAATCTAATTTAGCTTTGCTTTCTATTAGTATTTCGTATTTTGCACTGAAATAAAATCGTTTCTACTGTGAATAAATTTTTATTGAACAGCCCAACTAGTGGCAAAAATTTTAACTATTTTTTTCCTTTGAATTTCATTTCCCTTTGGTATAAAGAACCTATATTTCGGTTTTGGTTATTTATTATATGTTCATTAAGGATTCAGAAAAGGGAAACTTTTAATCGCAAGTCCCTGCACATGGATTACAAAGCCGGGTAAATGTGTAGCTGAGTAGATAAGTTGACCGTAAATGTTTACGAAAATTGCTATTCTTTGATGCGTTTATACGTTTCTGAAGTTTGTCGACAGCCTCTAGACTAAGGTTGTATTTTTTCTTACAAAAACCTATCAGTCGAGTCTATCAGTCTAATTAAAAGTCCCTATCAGTCTAATTAATCCCTATCAGTCTAATTAAAAAGCTTTTCATTACAAAACCCTATCACTCGAGTGATATTAATCATGGGTTCGATAATTACGGAATACACGAACTGGCTTTGTAAGGATTTTTGTGGTTTTTCGGTCATTAAATGCAAATACAGATCAGATTTCCTTACAAAGTTCTCCATGAAGGCTTGCGCTAAATAATTCTATAGCGCATTGTCACATCGAAATTAACCTAACTTAATAATTTGCTTAAGGTTTTATTGCAGAGAGCTATTAACAAATAAAATATTTTATTCCAGAAAATAATGTAACAAGAGAAAAACAGGGGAAACTGTGCATCAGTCTAACGCTGAAAATTAAAACAACATAATTATTGGCAACGTATTCAGTCATCCTGCTTTCTGAATTAATTAAGCGATTAAATATTTAATTGGATGATGATAAAACATTCGAATCCTTTTAATGGCAACAGTATCTTCATCTCCTGGGTATAAACTTTAGTCTGATTGGTTGGGCAGGTCTAAGAGTGAATTCAACTTTGACGTGCATCACATCTCTATGGTCAAGAGAAACAACCTTAAAGTGTCGCAAAATATTGGAAATCAGATATTTTTCTTCCAACATGGCAAATTTTTGACCTGCAAAAAAGAAAAAAAAAATATGTAGCTAATTTTGATAGGGAATATACATCAAATAAAGTGATGTCAAATATATGAGCTTAAAGCGTTCGAACAAATTTTGTTCTTTTCCTTGACTTCTAATGTAATGTTATTACAAAAGAAGTATGCAGATTCAATAATTTGTAAGAAAAGCCCTGTGAATGGTATCTCGATGAAACTTAAAGTGAAATATGCATGCAGAATTCATGTTTTCTCCCTTTGCATACATCGCTTCCTTAAATTTGTGCCAATTCATCCACTGTCGTCCTCTCTCGATTTCCTATTTTCTCTTTCATTCTCTTTTTGAAAAATCAATTTATGAGATAGCGAAACCCCTTCCGTCAACAAAAACGGTTTAGGGAACGTGAACCTAACTTCTTTTACCTGGCTTAGCTTTCGATTTATTAACTATTTTCTTCCGACAATTTATTTCAAAAATTTCCGTTTAATGTATTATTAAGTTTATAAATTTCTTTTTACTTCCTTGTACGAAGTAAACGAAGTATTGTAATTACGAAAAATTCCGGGTTTCCTATAGCAATGAAAATGCAGAATAAAGGACTCTTTTTTTTCCCACCCCAAACGAATTATAAAATTGATTTAAAATGGATTCAGAAGAGTTTTCTTTCGTGGCCGTCTGTACGTACTTATGTATGCATGTATCTCGCATAACTCAAAAATGAGTAGCCTCAAAGAACGTTGAAATTTTGTATATAGGACTGCTATATAATGTAGATATGAATCTCCCCCTTTTGTTGTAATCGGCCGTACCAAAAGTATACATACATATATATATATATAGTTCAATTAAATTTTAGTGAATTAAATTAGCAATACCATTTTAAATTCCCGTTTTTTTTTTTTTTTTTTTTTTAATTTTCCTGTCCAAAAATTGAGTTAAGAATTTTTACTTTAAAAATTCACTTGTATTGTAGGTTAGCTCCCTCTTTACTTTTACATATGTTCTTAGAATTTAAATGATATTGTAGATTAGTTCGCAGCAATAATTAATCATTTATTTGTAATTCAATTTCATTTAAAATTTAATTTAAATTTGCTTTTTACGAATAGAGAATGTTTGTTATATATATTTCTCTCTATATATAACAAACTATATACATATATAGATGTCTCTCTCTCTATATATATAACAAATATATAACAATGTTATGTTTTATTCGTTTTACCAAGTGTTTCGAAGGCGTGTAGGGAAAATCTTGGTACATTTGAGGTTCGAGTCTTCGTTTTTATATAAATTTTAGTATTTTAAATGAAAATTTAATAGATTCTTTTTTCGGTTTTTGATCTCAAATGAACCAGGAGAACGAAACACGTTTTCGAAATATATTAATCGGCTTTTATGAAATTTTAATTCATTTTCCCCTGATGAGTTCTGAATTGGTGTTTCAGTAAAAGGACATTAGTTTTTATTTTTATATTTCTATTATCATGCAATTATTTCCTTTTTCCATTTTCATATCTAATTTTTATTTTCAGAGTTTGGACTGCTATGAATGCTTATTTAAATTTTGATATGTTTGGATACTGTGTTATACCTCTTATACACGATTGCTATTATTAATATTTTTGAGAAATAACCTTGCTTTGACTCCAGTTTACTTTTAACCTTTAGATTCTATGTATATATATATATATGTGTGTGTGTGTGTGTGTGTGTTATGTTTTCAGTTATTCCAACACATCGTATCACAGTTATTCCAACACATATCCACGAAGCTGGGATGATTGCACCACTGAGAAAAATGACGATTCAGGACTTTTCACTTTTAACAGAATATCTTTATTTTATTTTATAGCAGATGATTTTTTCCAGATGAAGTTACTCAAATAACTTATTCAGTAAATGAATTATTAGATACGACTGACTTTAATACGTTACAATGTTCTAACAAAGAAAGAGAAGCATAGCGGAGGCGATAGCAGAACGAAGGCGAGAAGGCATCTGTGTAGGGGAACTTATGACGCAGCATTTATATGAAAGGTTATGTAACAGAAAAGCTTCTAGAAAAATGTAGGAAAACTTATGACGCAGCATTTTTATGCAGAGGTTGTGTAATAGGCGCGAATGTTCAAGAAGATACTGGTCTACGGAAAGATCCTGAATTACAGAAAATTAATTAAAGGTTGCTGGTTCGCAAAGAGCAAAGCCATCGTATGCTTTTTATGTTTTACATCTTCGCCCCCTCCCGTCAAAAAGAGAGGCCGGGGTGAGAAAAGCATTAGTACAGGAGTAAAGCAAAAGTATGAGAAAAGACATGAAACATCCAGGACATAGCGTACACGCTTTAACTATGGCCTATCATAGTTCATGACTATCTCATATAAAATTTTGGCTTTATAGCATATGAAATTTTGAACATTAAAACTATGAGTTATAAATAAATATACAATATATGACTAATTTTAAAACTATAACATAATAAATATGGAATACTGATAAATAAATAAGTTATAATTACAAAAGTCCTCAATTTTGTTAAAAATGTCCATTTTGTTTTTTTGAAAGTCCTTTTCATAAAAAGAGTTCGAATAGAATGAAAATATCTGGTAAAATCTCTAAATGCCAGATAGTCCACAAATTTGATGCATGTTGATATTTCACAAATATGATGCATTTTTTTCGCTGAATATGTTTTCATAATAGTAATCTTTGATTAGAAAATATTTAAAATTTTTCTTCCTTCAGATAAAACTTAGAAAAGAAATAGATTATACAATTTATGAATAATATATCATGTGCATTTTTTTCCTCTCATCGCCGGCAATTAAAGATTGACTTATTTTACACTTCAATACAAAATATTATAATTATTCAAAAAACAATTCAATATAAATAAAACAATTATACACTAGAACATGAACACTTTGACTTTAAAACTATGGCATGTCCTCGCCAACAGATCAGCGTGATTACTTGCTGAAGGTTGGGAAGTGCTAGGTACAAATATCGAAAAACCTCCGTTGCCTAATACAAGGTAACTGGTTTTTGGCATTGTACATTACCTCAAAGTGGTTTTAGAAAAATAAAAGATCATATAAAATCAAAATTATAAGACAGATAACTTGTATAATCAAGTTTTAAAGTCTTTTTTATAATTTTGTAAATTAGAAACAAATATTATCCTACAATAAGAAGAAAATTTTTGCTACAAAATAATTCAAATTATGTGAAAAATATAAAAGGTCAAGATCGGGAGAATTATTTGTCACAGTCGGGAAAATAACTTGTTATAATTAGGGTTTAAGTCTAAATCATGTATTAAAAGTCATAATCAGGAAAATTTTTAATAGAGAATTTTGAAAAAATTCATTTTAATTTTGAACTGAGATAGGAATTTTACTATTTCTGACAGTTAACTTAAACTCACTTGGTGGATTAAAAGGTCTTAATCTAGTTGAATGAACAATTTCTGATTTCTTTTTAGTTAAAGGATTAGGTTTATCAATTTTATAAGTAACTTCAGAATATTGTTTTAAAATTTTATAAGGTCCTGAGAATGGAGGAGAATTTACGTGTATTAGGGTATTGAAATTCTTCATAATTACTAAATCACCAATTTTAAAATTACTAGGTTTAAAATGAATATCATATCTTTCTTTATTTACATTATGATAATCATCAGATCTCTTTTGAGCTATTTTTCTGGCTTCTTCTATTGACGGATACAATTCTTGATTTTGAATTAAGGAATCATAAGGTAATTTTCCATACATTAAATATGATGTAGGGAATTTTGTTACAAAATGAGGGGTATTATTACACTCTTCAGTTACTTGGGGTAATAATTTTGTCCATGCTATATTACCTTGATAAGAATTTAGTCTACATTTTAATCTAGTTATAATAGTTTGATTAACACGTTCAATTTTACCATTAGTTTGGGATCTATTTGCAGTAGTTAGCAATTGTTTTACATTATGATTCCTTAAAAAGTGCTTAAATTTTGAAGATGTAAAAGCAGCGTTCCTATCACTTAAAATCTTTTTAGGGACCTGAATTTGGAAAATTTGTTTTAAGCAATTTATATAAGTATCTGTAGTTACACTTTTAGAAGCAAAAGTCCAGATATATCTAGTTGCATGATCAATAATTATGTGAATATACTTTTTAGTAGAATTAAAATACCTTAAACCACCTACAGTATATCAATAGATAATATTTCAAAAGGTTCACCAACTGATGGTAAATTTTGCATTAAACCAAATTTCTTTTGTTTACTTTTCTTATTAAACTGACATACTTAATAATGTTTACAATAATTTCTAACATCTTGAACAATTCCTGGCCAATAATATTGTGGAGATAACAAATTTAGCATAGATGATACCCCATTATGACCAAATTATATATGGGCATTTTCAAGTAATTTCGTACGTAGAGACATGGGTATCACAATTTTGTACAATCCCTGTTTTTTGATAGTTAAGACATCATTCATTTTCCTATACTTAGTATTACAAACATTATGTAAATTTTGATATTCTTTTATTTCTTCTAATGATAATAAATTAACTTGCAATCTTAAATGTTGACACATAGGATTTCTAGAGAGAATGTCAGCTTCAACATTAGTAGATCCTTTTTTATATTTTATATCAAAATCATACATAGATAATTTTAAAGACCACCTAAATAGACGATCTGTAGGGTGTTTTATATTTTTAAGCCAAATTAAAGCAGCATGATCAGTATGTACAGTAAAATGGTTACCATAAATGTAAATAATAATAAAATTTATCAATTGCATCAATAACAGATAAACATTCCAGCTCAGTAATGGCATAATTTTGTTCATAAAATCTTAATTTTCTAGAATTAAAAGCAATTGGATGTAAACTACCATCAGGATGTTCTTGTTTTAATTAAAACAGCACCAACAGCTTCTTTGGACGCATCAACAAATACATGACAAGGGATATTTAGGATTAAACAAAGTTAAAATAGGTCTAGAAATCAA